GAGAGAGCTATATACTTGGTGAGAGATGCATCAAAATCCGACTCAGCTCTGTAGTTGAATGCATCATCATATCCAAGTTCCTCCTTCAACATCTTTACCTATTTACAACACACAGTAGACTGCAACTCATCAACATTTTGAAATTTGAATTTTTTTTTTTTTTAATGAAGAAATTTTGAATATTGAAAAGCTAATATTTTCACATGCCATATCTATAGGAAATATTATAACTTGGCAATCATTTTATTATACTTTATTACTATATACATTATCATGGTGTGAAAATCAAGATAATACATAGTATTTAATAGATGATTGACTAAGATTATATTTAATAATTTATCAAATAAATAATCACGTTTTATCGAGATACTAATATATATATATATATATATAGTTTAATTAATATAAATAAATGAATAAATCATACTTTATCGTCGGAACCGGTGCTCTCTACGACCCTGCAGCCTCTAAGCTTAGCTAATTGTCCGGCGTACATTCCTACGCCGCCGGCAGCGGCGGAGATAAAGACGTTGGATCCTGGCTTCGCCTCTCCCACCAACTCAATGCCTACCCATGCAGCAAACCCTGGTAATCCTGCATGCATGATAATTTATACTGTATTAATTACTAACCAAGTTCTAAATAATATACATATAATTATCTATCCATATTATTTTATACTTTTCCATAAATATTTCAATTTATTTTTTTTTTAAAAAAAAAAAGAAAAAAGAAATGCAAGTTGACAATTACCTAGGGCAGAGAGATACTCCAGCAATGGAATCCCAGAATCAAGATCCAGCTTTCTCATGAACATTGAATCAGTTGGTACCACAGAATACTCTGCAACTGGCAAATAGAAATCGAACAGAAAATCTCCTTCCTTAAACTTTTCGTCCTTTGATCCTATCACCCTTCCAACACCAACCGCTGTTATCACCTACATCCATCACTTACATATATGTGATACATATATATACATTCATTACATACATACATGTAATATGTATATATATATATATAATGGAAAACGTACGCACCTCGTTAAGCTTGACCTGAAGAAAGTAGAGACCCTCTTCGTGGCCGACCATTCTGCCGCGAAGATAAGGATCGATAGAAATGAAGAGAAGCTCAATGGCAACGTGGTTGTCCGGGATTGAATCGGCGGCCAGCGAGAACGGCACGCTGCGAAGCTTGATATGTTCAGACGTCGGAAGACCCTGAGGTACGTAGGCCGCCATGTACCACTCTCTGCTCTCTAGAACTGATTTCCCCATGATAGATTCTCTCTCGCTGAAATGGAAGATAATGAAGTACACGAGCATCCTATATCATATATATATATATACACACACACGATCTGTAAGAAAAATGAATAAAAATGTAAGAAAAGTAATAAAGGTAGTTGGATTAAGAAAAAGCAAGTATTACGCACCTTATCAATTCAGCTTTTAAGCTAATACATATATATATATATATATATATATATATATATATATTACATACATACATACATACGCTAACAACACGTGCCCGAAATGGGCCACGCAACCCATTTTCTTGCTCTCCCATGGGCTCGGGTAATCAAAGCCCTGCAACCTAAACTACTTTTAATCCTTCTTTTATAATTGAAGAAAGAAATTATTACCTCCTCAACCAAATTAACAGTTTAAACTGATTCACCCTCCAATAGTAAAAACTGAAATTTACTTTCAAATTACATTCAAATAAAAAAATTGACCCAAATTTTCACTTCTTTGTTTTACCCACCCAATTTGAGAATTGATATTTTACTATTTCTCATACATATATATATATATATATAATTGCTTGCAGGGTCATGATTCCTGATTCAGATGGAATTTCAGCATCCATATTCCAACCAATAGAAAAAAACAAAATTGACCTGGAAAGAAAAAAAAAAAAACGGTAATTTTTTTTTATGTGATTTGGAATAGAATCTTTTTATAATTTCGTGTTGTCAATAGATTTTGCTTCATTTGTTTTGCTTGCAGTTTCTACCATGCATTTGGCTTCTATACTAAAAAGAATTGAAGGTTGGACTTAGACGCAAATTTAACAGAGAGACCTAGTGACTTGACATTTGGTGGGAAGTATGATTTAATTTGGGAGTGTTTGTTTCTTGAGAAAGTGAAGGAAAAAAGACGAGGGACAAGTGAGAAAATTAATTCAATTACCATTTTACTAAAGATAATTTTAAACTTTATACAATATTGAAAGAAATTATAATCAATTTCTAATTAATGAACTCTAATATTTTTAGATGAGTCGAATTATGAATTTTTGTTACAATAAAATTGGAGCAAATATATCTTCGTTTTCCTCTGTTCATTTAAGTAATTATGTTATTAATTACGAATAATCGATTAGAGACAAATGAAAAAGAGGCAGGAGAATAAATTAGAACAATAGAAAGTGGTATAATAGAAGAATAATTAGGCTCAACTGAGGTAAATATAATAGCAAATTAAAAGGTGGTATCTATGCGAATGCAAATTATTACCGAATAATACAGATTATCAATACCATGATTTTGTGATTAAGACTCTAATCGCTATATTTAAATATTACGGCTCCAAACTTTATTAAAATGTAGAATTTAGACACTTTATAAACATATTATAATACTTAATTTTATAAATTTAGAATTTGATTTATTAATATATTGATAAAATTACAATTACTAAATTAAGTTTTATCTTAGTAGATTATTACGACTTTAGTGAATTGAATATTCAAAGTATATTTAGTTTGTTTGGATAACTACTAGGAAAAATTTTACCAACCTTACTTTTTTAAAAAAAAAAAAAAAAATACTGATATAGAAAATTCATGAATTCAGCAAATCAAGAAACTATTACGATTTTAATTAAGTGAATATTTAAGTATATTCATTTTATTTGGATAACTACAATAGGACATTATCTGACCTAACACTTTAAAAATATATATATATAGTTAAAAAATTCATGAAGTTAATGAATCAATGAACTATTACGACTTTAGTAAAATGAACATTTTAGCTATGCTCATTTTATTTAGATAACTACAATGAGACATTATCCAATCTAATTTTTTTTTAAAAAATAAAAAATAAAATTAGAAAATTCATAAACTCAGCAAATTAAAAAGTTATACGATTTTAACAGAATTGAACATTCAACTATACTTATTTTATTTGGGTAATTACAATAGAATATTAACTGACTTACCTTTTTTTAAAAAATACAATTAAAAAATTTATGAATCCAGCAAATTAAAAAACTATTACGATTTTAAGGAAACGAACATTCATGTATACTCATTTTATTTGGATAACTACAATAAGACATTATCCTACCTAATTTTTTTCCAAAAAATAAGTTTGAAAATTTATGAACTCATCAAATTAAAAAACTATTGCAATTCTAATGGAATAGACATTCAAGTATACTCACTTTATTTAGATAACTACAATGGGACATTATCCGACTTACTTTTTTTTTAAAAAAAAAAAAAGAAATACAGTTAAAAAATTTATGAACCTAACAAATCAGAGAACTATTATAATTTTAACGAAATAAAAATTTATCTATACTCATTTTATTTTGGAAAATACAATAAAACATTATTCTACCTAACTTTTTTTCAAAAGAAAAAATAAGTTAGAAAATTCATGAACACAGTAAATTAAGAAACTATTACGATTTTAGCAGAATAAAAATTCAATTATACTCGTTTTATTTAGTAAACTACAATGAAACATTATCCGACCAAACTTTTTTCTAAAAAAAAGAAAAAAAATTATAATTACGAGATTCATGAATCCAGCAAAGCGTCTTTAATTAACTTTACATATTTGGTCCTTTACCCCTGATTACAATCTTATTAATCCCTGAAATTGACACTAAACCACCAACCCACCATTTTCATCTCAAAACTCCTCTTGCCCTCACATAAATATTCACTGTTACTTCCCAACTTTTGCCAAGTCAGGATCCAAATCAAAAGGATTTCAGGTAGGTAGTCCCTATTCTCTGTCTTATTCTTTTCTTAGTCTTTTGTATGAATAGCTACTGTTTGCTTGCTCGTACGAATATACACATATATTTGCATATATCCCTTTTGATTAAGATAAGACCCTTCGAGAATCTCCCAAAAAGATCTTTTCCATGTCCTCTAATATCTTCTTCTGTTATTTTTTAATTATTTTGGCTAGAGGTAAACTTTCTATGGTATAAATCGAAATAATCAAGATTAACAAATCGATTAAATAAATCTTTTGGCTTAATCAGTTGTTCGATTTATAAGATTTTGGGCCGACCAAGTTGATTTTGGTTTTAAAGTTTAGGTATCAAACTGATCAGAGTTAGTTATTTATTTTTTAGATTATAAATATTTCTCTATGTAAATGTATATATAAATACATCAAGAATCTGAGAGAGAAATTAATCAACAAGTTGATTCACAAACCACAATAGTAGACCGACATCCACTCATCTGATGCATAAGAAACATGATTTACCATGATGATTACAGGGCCAGTAATTGGTCGATTTTCGGGATAAAGTAAAGGGGAGATGAGGATTACTGAGGTGGGCATTTGATCATAACATAAAGATGAGATAAGAGTCCATCAATTGCTTTACCTAATCGATTGTTTTACATTTAGACTAGCACTTGAAATTAGGACTCATTTCTTTTAGCTCAGTGATTGAGCATGTGTACCATAAATGCTTAATACAAAGTGGAAGAATTAATTAGGAATAAACTATTGGATTTACTACCATTTTGACTCGAATATATGCAAAAGCTTCATTCATTTTCTTGCCGTTCATTTAACCATTTGCACAATTTGTAATCTAAATGTTGCAAGGATCACATCCATGGGAAGCAAGACACCTATCTGGTCTGAGAAGTGGACCTACGACTACGAAGAAAACGATTGGAAGCTGGAGAGGACAAATGCAAGCAGCAGCAGCAACAGCAACAGCACAAGCAAGAAGATGGCGGGGATAAAAGCTGCAGCCTCAGCTGGATTGATAAAGCCAAGGCAGCTGCCGCTACTGGTGCCAAGAAGATGAAGGCTGGAGCCTCAGTTGGCATCAAGTGGTTCAAGAAGAAATGCTCTTCAAAATGAATGTATGAATGTAGTTTAACTTGAGATAGACTCATTGGTTTCTGTTTCTTGTTCAATAATCAATTAATAAGCAATTAAAAACCCTAACCTCTGCATCTTTCTCACAACAAATCTATGGATCTAACTATTTTTCCTCAACAGTTACAAAACTAAATGCTAAAAGAATCAAAACTTTTGCGACAACTAATATAAAAATACATTTGTGATGGCAACATAAAATGACTTCCATCTGAATGACATTCATATTTATTCTTAATAATGGATAGTAATCGAATCTTGTTTCTCAACCAAACAATCTTTTCTTAACCTAGGTTCTTTGCTTGGAACTTATGTTTAGAATCTGATTGACCAAACATATCCTTTCAAAAAAATTTGGGTACTGGGCATATAACTTCGCTCACAAGTAAGATTCATAGTAGTTTTTTTTTTTTTTTTTTTGAAATAAAGATTCATAGTAGTACTTGAAACGTAATAATACTCATTCATCCAAATCATAGCAGTTGAATGTAAGTAGGTACTGCAATTCAGAGTTTGAGAAATGTAAGAGAAAAGAGAACCAAACTGAGTTCAAACGAGCTGAGCAGAGAATTTACAGTTTATCTGCTTTTTCTTCCTCTTTCTTGGCAAATCTATCCACAAAGAGATAGATTGATTATGTCTCTCAGAAGGTGCCAAATGTATTTTCGCCACTGTACGTCATGTAAAGAAAACCATCTTCGTCCTTGTTTTCTTCATAAATTGCAGACATCATTGCCGCTGCAACAAGGGAGATAATACTATCATTAAACCGCTAGAGAGGTACAGTAATCAAATGATGATATATCAAGAGGAGAAAAGAGAAATCAGAATTGATGAGTAAATAACTTCTGTCTTACCGGTAGGTGGTAGTATGTTCTTGACAAAAATGAAAATAGCCTTTTCAGGACTGAGCTTGATCCTCTTTCGGACCACATAAACAAACTGGCCAACAGTCAGATCAGCAGGAACCAAATACCTGCATGTGCCCCAAAGACAATCAACTTCAAACAGGAGAAAAAGAAAAAAAGATACAAGCATGGGACACTAGGGTCCAAAGCCATGATCATTCAGATATACACCTAATCTGTCTAGCTTCTATATTGAAAATTTAAGGTCCTTTGACTTGGGAATTCATCACTAGGGTCCCTACTGCAAAGTTCCCAAAGCATTAAGCAAGTCAAATGCTTATCAAGAGAATAAAAATTTCCATACTTCTCAATGTTGTCTTCGCGAGCAAAATTAAACATAACATATTGACTGGACCATGATATAACTCGCACTTTTCTTATCTCTACTAATCTCCATGAAAAATATCAAGGTTCCAATTCATTCCCAATAAAGCAAAGGCTAATAAAGGATCCAATCATAACCTAAAATCCAGCTTGTCAGGTGTCCTCATCTAATTGGACTTCAAATGAGAATGCAGACCAGAATTTAGCACCTAGACCTTTTCAGACACTATTGCATGATTAACGAACCAGGATGAACTTAGTAATTTACCTAAGGACATATGATCAGCGACATAAAAGAAGCTGGTAAAATAATAGAACGTCCAGAAATAACCAGAAAGTCTTCGGTCATGTTTGACATGTGCTTCCAGAAGAGTTTTGTTCTCAACAAGAAAAAGTCTTTATCACAAAATATGTCAATGATTTCATAAACAACTTCAGATTACCATTAAAAATAGGTTTCTTATTTAAGTTGTTTTCTATAGCTACTTGTACCTTTTCTTTTTTAATGATGCAATTGAAAAGGACAGAATGTTCTCTTTAGCTAATCATGAGGGAAAAATACAAACGAAGGACTTACTACTAAGTAAATCTTAAAATTATGTCTTAACTAAGGACATTGTTTTGGAACCAGAAAACAAGATAACTGGGATATTTTCTAGACATAGGAGACCTAACAAATATTTTTTTTTTGAAAGAAGGCCAAAAATGATATATTTCTAGCTTTCACAAAACACATAGTAAATGGTTCGCTCTGATAGCAGGAAAAAACTAGACATTCAAACATGGCATAATGCTGCCAATACAGAATCATATGTCTCCAACAGAACTTTATAAATCTATTTATAGTAATGATAAAAGATTTCTGAATTTTGTATGCTTGCTCATTCATTTTCATGATCAACAGCACATGAGAAATATAAAGATTCAGGTATAAGAATCACTAACTTTTTTTTATCAATATCAGGCACATCACTCTTTTCAGCCCTCTCGACGATCACCTACATCAAACAGTCAACTGGATTCAATTTCAAAACCACAAGGACAGTACATGCTTGCACAGGCATAGAGAAAATTGAACATTCATACAGGTATTCTATCAGGATACTTTTCCCTGATGCGAGCAGCTTCAGCTTGCCTCCTTTCTGGCAGAAAAACAAAAGGAACATGCTTAAACACATATGACAACCAAGATCTTATTAGGCATTTTTTCCTTGTCTGTCCATATGTTCGTCTACATTTACCAAATAAGAGCATTCTTATCTTACAGTCAGGTTTACACCGGAAGGAAAATAATTTCATTAGAAGTAAAAGAAAACAAGTACAAAGGGAAAAGAAAATGTTTTAGGAAGTATGAAAATAAGTTGTCCTCTTCTTTGTATCTTTGATTCAACTAAATTCCTATTCCTTACCACTAGATTATGTATGAAATTTTCATGCACCATACATATCCAGTGAGTGGGTGGTACAAGTTGAAAAACAAGACATCAAATTGAACGAAATAGGAGGCCAACGACATACCATTCCTGGTTATTAAAAAAGATACAATCCTTCTCGGCCACCAATACAAAATTAAAAATAAGATTACATTTGGAACAAACAAATTATTTTTTTTTTTGGAATTTATTTGGAAATGCACAATTAGTTTAACTAAGGAAAGATAAAAATTCTATTAGAAAATTATAAAATTAACCATTTAGAAAATTTTAATAGAATTAAAACAATGCATTCCTAATTCTATCAATAATGAGGTTCCAATAGTCGGTACCAGTTAAATTCCCTATAATCTCAATTTTTACCATATTGAAGGAAATATTCATCTCCTGATAAAACTACACTTGGATTTTTAAACAAATTCCAAAAGTAAAGTTCGGAACATAGTATAAGTAAATAAAAACTAATCTTCCAGACAAACAAACGCCCACCGAATGCGAATCCATATTTTCAAATCTTAGGTTCTATAACAGCCTATTCAGTTCAGATGCTGCTCAGGTGAAAAAAAATCCCAAATGCACAACTGTTTCTCCTCGCCCTAAGTCTGGTAGCCACCATAGGGGGAAGAACACATGCATCAAGACCGAATTAACTTCAATAATGAGCAAAGATTAACAATCAAAAAAAGCCCCAACAACCCAGATGCTTAAATACAAAGTTTCAGAAGCCTGTAATAGAAATTCCGCAAAAATCCTCGTCAAGCCGATCAATCAGCCAATCCACTACAATATACTCAGAGAAAGATTATGCGAGGAAGCGCGCCTAACAATCAGGAAAATAAAGAAGGAAACAAACCGAGGGGATGCTCCAACTTGAAGGAACTCTTGGCCATACGTAAACTTCTGCAACAGAGCCGAAAGAAACCAGATTGGGATAGCGGAAGTAGGGTTTCCAATTAAGAGATGGAGCTGTCCAATGAAAATTTACAAACTAAGGAGAAGATTAATTGAAGAAAATTGAATTGCTTACCAAATGTGAGAGAGATAAGAGGGTATTGATTCTGGAACGGGCGAAATTTTGAGGGAAGACGACAAAACGAAAATGATGGGGAACTTCAATTACTGTTGAATTTGTACAGTTGTCCACGCGGCGATTTTACACTTTGGCATCGTAATCCTTTTAATTATTCCAACGGGAAAATAACAATCTTTTTTAGGATATTGTTATGCTAAAACGACTTTTTATGATGTCGTTTCGAGTCAATTTTAACTCACGACTTCATTGAATTTTTTTTTTTTTTTTTTTTTTTTTACTTTTTTACGTAATCTAAAAAATATTTATGTGAGTAGTCGAAAAATAAACTCTTTTTTAATAACAAATAAAAGTTATCTCAGAAAATTACTTGTACACAACAAATAAATATTGCAAGAGAATCCACGAACAAAGGAGATCATCTCATCTGCACAAGTAAAGTTGAAGAAAGCAGGAGATGAAGAAGAAGAGTATATATATATCCGTGTATATATATATATATATATAGAGGAGAGCGAAGTGGGAAGATAGTTCCATTAGAGGTGATAGGGTTAGAGAAAAGGGCCTGAAAAACAGTGAGTTGTTGCCATTAAATATGGCGATTGAACAGAAAACCAACATCCTTCTCTCTCCCTCCCATCCCATCATGTATAAATGCTATATTTAAAGCTCCAGATTTGTGTCCGTGACCTTTCTCACCATTCCTGTTACTTCTTAAATTAATACTCCAACTTCCATTATCGTTGGGGTAGTTGAGCTCTTCAATGCTACTTCTTCAATGCCCTTTCTCCCTGGGGTACCCCTTCTTAAAGCCACTTGCTTCCTGGACGGTCTCCCCTCGACCCTTCTTCTTCTTCTTCTTCTTCTTCTTTCTTAACATCCCCCTTACCCTATACAGATATGTCCTCCACCTTCCCTCTCATCCTTTTACCTTCCTTCTTTCATTCAACGTCATATATATCTTCATGCTTTTGTTAAACATTTTATATATATGTGTGTACACCTTTTGGGCGTGAGAGTTGTATGTATGTTTCATTTTTAGGTTTACTTTCTTTTTTCTTTTTTTCCTTTCTTTCTGAACGAACAGATTTTATGTAAGATTCATGCTAAGAGACATTGTTGAGATGGGAAAAGAAAAGAACTGGTCAATTTAACGGGATATTGGTCCGGTTCAATAAGAAAACAGTGCTCTGATCGTGTTGAGTTCTGCTTTTTGATTGAGCCGTGCCAATATCACGTATGATTGCTCTTATAATCTATCGTCTAAATCTTGACTCTTTCAAGGTTAAAGGTAACATTTTTTTTCTTTTTCAGTTCTTTTGATTACAGCAAATCTGCATGTTAAATTCTCTTCCCAACTAGTCTGCCAGATATTAAAAGAAAATCATAGGATTGTATTAGAAAACTTAGAAATAACAACCCAGGACACAGTAATATGCTTGTATCCAAATTCTTTTACCACTGAAAAATATGTATGTATATACATACACACACACATAGATATACACATATGGGAGGAGTAAAAACTGGAGATTTTTTTTTTTATCTTTTTTATTTTCACCATTTTCTTCTATTGTGTTTTATTAATTTTTTTTTTTTTTTTTCCTTTCATTTTGTAGATGTCAGTTAAAAAGGAATAAATTAAAATAAAATGCATGTCCAGATATATTGAATTTGAGGTTTGAGAGAAGTGTAATTAATTTTGAGGTTTTATAATCATATTACAAGGTAAAGAATCACAGTCAAGTGACATTTGATAATGCAGTTTACCTATACATACATAAACACAGCTTTCCTCACCATCTCTCTCATAATTTTTTTGTTACAGTTAAGAATCAAGCTTTCTCCATATATATCTTGGAGAAATTTATGGCCGTGATCTGTGTTGATGTCAAATGATTTTAATTTGGGTTATTTTTTAAATTACATGTTATTACTTTTATAATTTAACCGAGATCTCCGTAACTTATGGTAATTTTTTTCTGTCAATTCGTAAAAGTAATTAAATTATAACTCACTGGAGAGAAAAAACTTGTGAAATCATAATAGTTAATACTCTAAATGTGTATAATCACAGAAATTGTAAATGTACCTAATTTATATATATATGGAGGTGCATGAAAGGCTTATAGCAGGGCCAGCAAAGTGAAATTTACTGATTTGTAATGGCTTCTCTTGGTTACATACAGACAAGAGCTTGATATCTTTTGAACTTGGAACTATTTGCCTATATAAAGGATTCCATTAAAGTGAATAGGACATTGCAGTAGTATTCTACTTTTTCAAAGTGTTGAAAATCCTATTTACAGTGGCATTTATCTTAGCCCAATATTACACCACAAAAAGGAACGTACATACTTGTCTATATATTATTTTTTTACTTTAGTTTTTCGTATAGTAATTAATAACAACAACTTGTTTTTAGTCTTATAGCCAATTGGCTTTAAGTTCTTTTCAGCTTGCTATTGGGGCAACTCGCCGTAGTATATAATATGCCTGAATAATACTTGAATTAAATCCCAATCATGCCCTTGGCCGGCAAGCAAGAAGAGAATATTTACTCACACAAAAGATAAATTCACTAAATTAATTATATAAAAGAGGGAGTCCGAAAATGGCATCACAAAGACTTATATTTATTATGAGCTTGATATAGCCATGGAATTGTAACTTACAGATTGGCCTTCCAAGCACCCAAAAAAAATTTTACTGTATAGCAGCGACAGCCTCTTGCCTTCTCCATTTTCTGGCCTCTGGTGTGGTCACTTTCCCCTACTAAAATGGAAATTGTCCCACATAGCAAGGGCTCTCTCTCTCTCCCCCCTATCTTGGCTTATATCCTATACTCATAAGAAAGAATACAGAAAAGAGCAGCTACAGGCTGCCTTGCCTCATCTACCTTGTAACCTTCCTGAGTTTGGAAGGATTTTTCAACCTAGCTAATTAAAATGTAGCACTCCATACTGCATTTTCACCTTCCCCACACCGTCGGTGGACCTCCTTTATCCTCTCTGCAGACCTGCAGATCCCACTGCAACTCCAGTCAAATGAAGCAACGCAGATGTTTCCTGCCTGGGCTTTCCATTCGCAATCTACAGAAAGAAGTAAAAGGTCTTGGATTACAGATTTCCAGAAGCACAAGCCAAAAAGAAAGCTAGATTTGTTTCCTTGGCTCATATCAAAGACAAATATATATACACACATATTATTTGATGCATAAGTCATGGTTTATTGGTTGTTTCAGCTGGGGGAGGGTGTTGAAAAATCTATACCTGCAGTAACTATTTTCCACTGAAAATCACATAATAAACAAAGAAATAAGTGGATTTAATTTGGTATGGAGTATGTTTCTTCATAGCTTATAATTGA